ATTCCTCCGGAGGAGGTCTGCAGATCTGGGCCTGTTGCGCCAGATCGGCCACAGGCCTTCACGCTACACGACGACGACCCAGACCTCGAGGACACGGAGAACTCGGCAGCTCGGTCGTCGGCGGAGCCGACCTGACACCGCGTCGCGGGCCTGAGGGATGCCAAGCTTGCTTCGATTTGACACCTGGGGGCAGTCGTGGGTGCCGGGAACTTGTGAGAGCAACACGGCCCATGTACAATCGCCGATGTTTGCCCTCCAACTTCCAGTCGCACCGCCGAGGTACGCCCTTCAGGAGTCATCGGAACTTGTGGCCCTCCATCCCTGAGTGCTTTCGGATTTTCCATAGGGTAGTTTGCGGACGCTGTGTACAGTCACCCCTGGTACGCTTTTGTCCTGTAACTGCCTGCCCAAGCATCTCCTAGGCCTTTCCTCGCACAGGACGACATGGTTACCTCTCACATTGGGTTCTTGTGGAGGCTTGCCGTGCTGTCCTTCCCTCCTCTGCACACCAAAGGATGTTGCCTTTTGACGGCGTCCTTAGGGGTGCCCCGCCTCTCTGCCTTCCAGCACGCTCGGTGGGCATTCCACCACATACTGTGTTGCCCATAGCCTGGGATGGACTTTGCCCCAAGGCTAACACCACTCAAGCATACCGGACATCGGCGCCAAAGAGGCGTATCGGTGGCTCAGGGACGCCCGCCCTTGTCCGGCACCATCGACCACCTGAGAGCGCACAGGCTACGCGACTTGGCTCCTCCTATCTGAGGTTCCTTTTTCCAGTGACTTGCCTGTTTGGTGCCCTCTTTTGCCTTCGCTACACAAGCTTGCGAGCCTCACTCGGACAACCAGGAGCGGCACAATTCATACAGCTGCTCTTCGCGCGGCTTGGTGTTGATTGCAATGTGTGGACGGCTCCCGGCAGACCACATGTCTTCCTTATGTCAACGGACTTTGTATGGGTTACCACTGGTCTGTGGCTCGCCAGTGTTTGCCTTTTATCGGTCTGTAACACACAAGAACTTGATACACATGTGTCTGACAGTGCCCTGCTCTGCCTTTGTGAGATTGGGGCATATCTTCATGCATGTTGTCGTGCCGTCTGCCTTGTGACTATGTGCCAGCTCCTTTGGCTGTTACGTCAAGGCCTCCGCCGCTGCAGATGGAGAGACATTCCTCACGGCCGCAAGTGCCCTCCACCCCTGCCATTTTTGGCCACAGGTTGTGCAGTGCGCCCATCAGGATGCCCCTATAGGCGTATTGGTCCCCCGCTCGTAAGGCTACAAGCACAGCATTGCCACCGGCAGACAGACAATAAGACCCGTTATAGGTCCGGCGTGTCTCTATGGAGGAAATTGCTTCTCCTCCTTAGCCTGCCTCATCAGGTCTGGGCAGCACCGAAAGGATTAAGTGAGGCACTGTCCGATGCGGCACTCCACATTGCCAGTCTACCCGACCCGCTTCCATATGACGCAGATGTTTGTGTAGATTCGCAGCGTAGCCTTGCCCAGGCGAGCGATGATGCACCCGGTGCAAGGAGCGTGGAGCCGCCCACGGATACCACAGGCCCCCGTTCTCCTGTCAATTGGAGAGATATCGTTGCAGAAGTTCAGGCTGAGGCCCTCGAGGAGGCAGGCCTCGAACCAAATCATCGACCTATTACGGGCATACCTGTTGCGTTGCATGCTCCGGGACAGCCCGCCGGGGAACCAGCTAGGAGAGTACCCTTTACTGTCTATGTGGTAACCCCATACTACGTGCCGGAGATTGCTAATCTCCACATTCCTGTGCCATGTGAAACAGCCGATGCAGCCAGAGTTGCCCTTCGCAGCATACCACGATGTTTGCCAAAGGAGCATGCTATCGAGCCTGCAATCCCACAGCCCAGTCAAGCCTACGCTACATTTATCACCTTCCCGCCATGGGCTACCTTTGCCAGTCTCACTGCTGCTGTCTTTGACCTCAGGTTGGCAGTAGTCAATAAGGATGGTCCCATTATTGGCACCTATCTTACCAGGCCAACGACAGCAGCAGAAATCCGCAGAGAGGCCGGCATGTACTCCGTTGGCCCGTGTCACATCTTGGTAGGGACCAGTATGGAGCCCCTACAGGAGGACGAACAGGTCTATCTCAGACACGGCAGCCTAGTGCGCCTTGTCCGCCAGGAGTTCCAGCCAGAGGTCCTGCCCACCCTTGGCAGTGTCCTACAAGAGGAGGATTTCGTAGGCTTTCCGGGTGGCTCACCCCGCATCCCGGCTGCAGCCACTCTCATGCTGCTTCACAGCACAGGCCGATACCATTTCAGCGGCACGCGCTCACCAGGCGTCTCTTTGCGCACGGCTGTTGTTGACTTTGTAGGTGCCGAGCATGGCAATGCGGATTTGGTATCTCCCTCTGAAGGGTGTCTGGAAGCTTGTATGCATAGGGGCACCCATGTCAGGAGTATTATTGCCGTAGCCGACAGGCCGAGACCAGGTGAGGAGTTACATGTGCTATTCCTGGATCTTAGACCTGTCGCGGCCTCACCACAGTTCCTCCAGCTACCGCGCAACTACTTAACTCTTGGGGAGCTCGCTGCAGTGCTGGCCCTGGAGCCTCCACCGGACTGGAGGATTTCTGTTGTAGGGGGGCGCAGGAAAAGAGACTTTTTTCGCTTTAGACATGGAGACACGCTCACTGTCTCTTTTGTTCCTGACATGGAGCCGTCCAGCAGCTCAGAGCCCGACACCCCCCCTTCTGATCCTGCAGTCCCGGAGGAACTTGAAGAGGAGGACGACACAGATGATCCATCCGATAGCAGCACAAGGTCCCGTAGCCGTGCACGCCGGCAGGCGAATGAGCCACACCTCTCCCCCTCCTCCGACACGTCATATCGAGGTTTGCAGGAGGCTCAGCCGACGGACACACTGAACCAACAGTGGGATGGGCCTCTACAGGTCTGCTGCACAGGCTCTGCCGCTGCTTTTAACACGGCTTGGCTCACGCCTTCTTGGCTTATGCGCATAACTAAGGGTGACTGGCCTAAACCTTACAGTCTGACCTCTCCAGCTCAGAAGGTCCCACACATGCAGCTTCTTTCTTATAGCCCATTGCTGGACTTGCGCCTTCCCAGCGCCATCGGCCTCGCACAGGTTAGAGCCATCTTTTCCAGACCTGCCTGGACCAAGGCGGTAGTCAGTCAGTCACGACAACACAGGCTCACCAATGCTGAAGGTGTTGCTTCCAACGGACGCGGGCCGCCAGATATCGATGAACTTAGTCGTCTCCTTCACCTTCCGGCAGTCAGGCCCAGTCCCAGACAGCACCTTCCAGCTCTTGCCCAGCCGCCTCCAAATTTTGGCGTGGTGCTCGGTCAAGAAGATGGTACATTCACGGCCACTGCACTGATGTATGCTTTGGAATATCCGCCCGAGATTGTTACAGTTGCACTTCCTCTTGGCCTTGAAGAGGATCAAGCACTCAGACTCTTTCAAGAGGCCAGAGACACTGTGTGTAGAAGACGGTTTGCACGCCTTGTCCCTGCCCGCCCTCAGCCGCTGGGACACTGTGCAGTCTTCACTGCCGCTGCTGAGTGGTCCGAAGCCATACATGTTATTATGGACGCTGTCCGATGCAATGGTGCCCTTTACAGTGCGCAGGTCCCACCAGTTGTGGATCGCAATTCATTGCTCACAATTGCAGGGCTCTTGGACCACGAATATGGCCTTGATGTTTACGTCGGCGACCGCCCGACTCCGTTGCGCCCCGGCGACACCACGGAGGTTGCTACAGGCTTCTGTGTTCAGTTCGTGCCAGCCCATGTCAATTTCATTACGGTCACATATCTAGCAGACATGCTAGGGTCCCCACAGATTTGGAGTGCGGAGCCCGATGTACCGGCAGTTGCCGGCAGATGGCTTTTGCTGGTTGCAGATGACGAGCCCTCCCTCTTTGAGCTCGACACCACCAGGCGACAGAGCTTTAGAGCTGACATAGCCGCACATCTTGGCTTTGAGCTGTCTCAACTTACAGTTCAGCCGACGACGCCTAGGGTCAGAGACTACTTTGACTACGGCATACTGGCGGGACACGCTATGATTGCTACACAACTCCCGAGCATAGACCCTGCAACAGGCACGCCACGTACCATGATCATGCTCGACCTAAGGCCCATACAGTGTGGGGTCACATGGGGCTTTGCTCCAAACTCTAGACTTCGGGCCCAGGACCTTGTTTCCCGCTTCGAGCGTTATTGTCCTGCGGGTTACTATGCCTCTATTTCTGGTGGCACCGTCAGACATGAGGATGACGGACTGTACTTTGAGGTAGTTCCAGGAGATGTTCTGGTTGTTGACTTCCTGTTCCAACTTGTGCAGAGCAGCGACTCGGGCTCCTCCGATGCCTCTTCGGATGATTCCTCGCCCTCTCATGCAGATGATAATGACGATGGACAAGGGGAGGACCCCCCCTACACTGCCTGGGAAACGGAGTACCATCCGACAGATGATGCCCATGGCGGCCCCCCACCTCGGAGGCAACGAAGTCGCAGCCCACGCCAACGCCAGGCACACATTTCGGTTTCTAGGATTGTATTCGGTGGTCGAGAAGCCATATGTTTCCGGGATCTATCACGTGACGCCTTACTTGAAGGCCATTCCGGATCCATCCCTGTCCTCCTGCCGCATCTTCTTGGACACCCCATGGGCACATATGCCTACAACTATGCTGCCCGGTTACTCGCGGCACCCTTTGCGTGGCGGAGCGTACAAACAGGCCTTTTACTATCCGCCGGACTAGTTGTCCTCGTGTTTGCCGCCCTCTGCAAGTCCAGTGACATAACTGTTGACACTCACTGTGATACGGGGAGTCAGCATCCAGGTCAGAGGTGGAGCCTTCCAAGCCTTGCATTGTGTTGCAACTGGGTGGACAGTCTCAGCACAGTCGCCTGTATCTACAGGCTCAACTCATGCCGATTACATAGAGCCTCAATCCCACCTTGTGTCATGCTTTTTGCATTGTTCGCCATGATGCCAAGGGTCACAGCCGCTGCCACAGGACCAGAGGATGTCCCATTGGCAACAACACGAAGGTTGATTCATGCGGCGCTACCACATCTCTTTCTGTCGCGCTCCCTCACGTACCCTAGCAGTCAGCTATCTGCAGTTCTCCTGACAGATCCGGCACATGACGGTGCAGTTGCAGAGAAATTGCCCAAGCCTATTGTCGATACGACTATCGACAGTCGTAATGGGCACTTCGCGCTCTGCCGTTCAGGGCGACGGCACCTTCCCACTCCGTGCCGTGCGGGATGCAGGCCACGTTCCACTCCCGCCTCCACAGGGGGTGGCTCTCACTGTTCTTTGAGGGCCCAGCCAGCCGCCGTGCCTGGCGTAGACAGGGATGCGTCTCTGCACCTCGGTACTACCACAATCCATGCGCTACTACTGCTCCATTTTAAGGGTCGATTGGTAGGATCAAGGGTGCTTAGAGCTGGCGACTCTTCCTGTCCTGGTTTGGCGCCACCTCCAGCTATCGAATCGGCGTCAGTCCGCATTTCCTTGGCGAGCTCCGTGCCGCTTACTGCCCATCAGACACTGAGTCTCAGCCTCCAGGATTTGTTACCTGACTGTTCGACCAGGTCATTAGATTGGCTAGATGCGGACATACGCCACGTGTTTGCCGATTCTACCCTGCCAAAGCCTCTGAGACAGCTGTTTAGTCGAATCGAAAAATGGGACCACTCCAGCGAAGTTCCTCCCCATGAGATCTTGATTTATACGGATGGCTCGGCCGCCCAGGATGCTCGTGCTTCATCGCCCTGCTCTTGGGCTTTCACCGTGTGGTTCAAGGTTGGGGTTCTTGTGTATTTCTTTGGCCATGCTAGTTCCACGGCAGTGCCGGCACAGACCCCCTTCTATGCGGGAGAGGTTGATGACACTGCTGTGACAGCAGAACTGCTCGCGCTCTTCTGGGCTCTGTCGTGGTCTGCAGAGTTTGGTCCTAAGTACCAGGCACCTCTGGCATACTACTACGACGCCATCAGCGTTGGCACGGGTGCCTTTGGGGAATCCAGAGAGGTCAAATACCCCTTGCCGCCACAAGGCCCCTCACTGCCCGCTTCGGTATCCTACCTGAGACAGCTTGTGACGGCCCGGTGCCGGGCGCACCACTTTCATGTTAAAGGCCACTCAGGGCATTTTGCCAACGAGCTGACCGATCGCCTGGCGGGGTTGGCGAGGATGCATGAGGAAGGTTATTACCAGAGATGCCTGCCGACTTGGCCCCACCGTCTCATCAATCACAAGCTCAGAGATTGGGCGTGGCTGGCTTCCTCTCCTCAATGTGACCTCCCCACCGTCTATGCCTTTGAATCCGAGGCAAGGAGACTTCAACATCGCCCAGAGTTGCCGACACATGCACCTCACGCTGGGGAGGCGAGTCAGACACATAGTTCGGGCGCTGTCCATTATAAGTGGTCTTGTGTCTCTTATAATATACTTACCCTGCGAGACAAACCGGCGCGCAAGCCGGGCACCGACAGCAGTGCGGATCCGACAGGCTTGTGCCTATTGGGCAGGCGTGCAGTTCTACAGCGTAGTCTAGCAGACTACTGCCCATTGTTCGTAGGGCTCCAGGAAACAAGGATAGGTGAGACAGCCACGATGCCTGACAAGGTCTACGACATGTACCATGCAGGATCTACCCCGGCTGGCACCGGGGGATGCGCCTTGTGGGTGAACAAGAACGTCCCCTATGCAATCAAGTCCGGAACCAAATATTTTCTGCGTCGAGAGCATGCCTCTACTGTTGGCTTTTCGCATAGGCACCTCAATGTCACGTTTGTCGCCCCCTTCCTGCGGCTTTTTGTCATGGTTGCACATGGGCCCTCAGCGGCCAACGCTCCTATAGCCGCAGTCGAAGCTTTTTGGAGAGAGCGGGCGCATGACCTGCATCACCGGCCGCAAGGCATGGAGGCACTCCTCCTACTTGACGCAAATGCCAGGGTAGGAAGTGTGGTCTCGGAAGCAGTCGGACCGTGCAATGCTGAGCCCGAGAATCTTGCCGGAGCGGTTTTCCACGAGTTCCTCGCCAGTTCGGACATTTTCCTCCCCTCCACTATTGAGGGTCTCCAGGTGGGACCGGGCGAGACTTGGCTGTCAGGGCCTGATATTGCTCACAGACTGGATTACATAGGCCTGCCGACTTCGTGGAGGACCTTCGAGCTCGAGGCTAAGGTACTAGTGGGCTTTGAGAGCCTCCAGCTCCGCGAGGACCACCGGCCCGTCTACCTTCGCGCAGAGTACTGCCAACATGTGAATTCCGGGGCTTTCAGGACAGTCTCTAGAAGGGCGGTGCGCCCTCCAACTGTGAGCACGCCGGAGGAGACAAGAGAACAAGCGCAACGGCTAGCTCTCCTCAGCTGTGTCTCCTGGGACACTCCTATCGATGACCAATATCAACACTTTGTGCAACAGTGGACGGACACCGGCCGTGGCATGAGCTCGATGCCAGGACGACAACCAGTACAGTGTTTCCTCTCCGAACGGACTCTGGACTATATTGATAAACGGAAGGCGTTACGTACTTACCTCGGCCAGGAGGAGGCGGAGCAAGCACGCCGACGCGTTATGATCGCTTTCACTGCCCTACTGCTTAACCGTCATGGTACGATTTTTAGCGACCGGGCACTGCGCATAGCGGCACTTTGGTTGGCTGAGGTTGACGTCAGCATAGCACGTGCGATTGCGCTACTGAGGCACTTTGCGAAAGCGGCCCGCAAGCAGGTCGCAGCAGACAGGCGTGCATATTTGCACTCACTGACTGAGCGAGTGCAGTTGAGCGACATCAAAGATTCCCGTGCACTCTACCAGGCAGTCCGGAAGGCATTCCCGGCTGCGAAGTCGGCGCGAAGGAGCAACCTTGTGCCGCTCCCTGCCGTCTGTGACAGCGACGGACACTTTGCCCAGACTCCAACAGACAGACTTGAGCTCTGGCGAAGCCACTTCGCCTCCCAGGAGTTAGGAGAGGCGGTCTCCTCTGCGGAGTACCTCGCCCGTTTTCGGTCCCGCCCTCCAAGGGACTCTTTTGTGTTCGATGCCAATGTGCTACCTAGCCTCCGGGACACCGAGCAAGTCATTCTTGGATTGCACCGTCACAAGGCTGCCGGCCCAGACGGAATAACTGCGGATTTACTCCGCGCCTCTCCAGGTGCAGCATCCAGACAACTCCTGCCCATTCTGTTGAAATCGGCACTCATGCTCCAAGAGCCGGTAGAATTCAGGGGCGGTAACCTCATATGCTTGGCGAAAAGAGCAGGAGCTGCTCTCCGACGACAAGATTTCAGGTCTATACTGCTCGCTGCTGTGCCAGCTAAAGTCCAACACAGGTTGCTACGTGGTAAGCTCCTGCCTGTTCTAGCGGCGCAGGGTCACCCCACGCAAGCAGGTGCGAGACCTGGGGTGGGACTTGAGACGGTCTCACTCTTGGCAAGGTCGTTCCAGGCTGTACACCAGCAATGTCGCCAAATGTGGTCGATTACGTTCTTTGACCTGCAGGCTGCATACTACCGAGTTGTACGAGAAATGCTGGTTCCATCACACCGCTCCGACTATGAACTGCGTGAGCTGTTGCACAAGGCGGGCCTACCTCGCCATACTCTCCTCGAATTGTCGGAGCAGTTAGAGCGCATTGCAGCACTGCCGCAGATGGGGGCGTCCCCACATCTTACCGCAATGGTGGGCGATCTGCTACATGCCACATGGTTCCATATGGATCTAGGTGACCTTCTCACTTGCACAGAGCGTGGTACGCGGCCGGGTGATCCGGCTGCGGACGTCTTGTTCTCTCTGTCTTTCACAGCCTTCTTAAAGACGACAGAACAGGCGCTCAGGGAGCGCAGTCTCCTTGCGGAGCCGATTGGGAAGGACCCTCGCCCCCAATGGGCGGAAGCCTCAGCTGCGGGGACGCTCGGGATGCCAGCCTGGGCGGATGATTTCACACATCTACAGAATGCCCGAGACCCTGCGGAACTTCTCCACAGGGTCGGCGCCACTACCAGTGTCATCCAGGAGCGTGCTACCGCTGTGGGTATGCGGCTCAATTATGCCCCAGATAAGACTGCGGTCTTACTTCCTGCTGGCATCGATTGGCGCACCCATGGGCGCCTAGTTGAGATGACGACAGGGACATTGTGCGTTCAAATACGAGACGACCTTAGCCAGGAGGTCCACGCCCTCCCTGTCGTTGCGGCCTACAAACACTTAGGAACCATCCTCACGTGTTCTGGCGACCCGCGGCCGGATCTTGCACACCGGGCGTCGCGAGCTGTTGGAGTCACCAAGTCATTGGGCAAAAGACTTTTTGGCAATCGCCAGATTCCGCTCACCACTCGACGACTGCTCTTGCGTTCCCTGGCAATTTCCCGTTTCGTCCATTCAGGAGCTGCGTTGTTGCTGCCCGCGGCGATACACCAGCGTGCCTGGGACCAAGCCTATGTGCGGATTTGGCGTGCCCTGCTTCCGCGCGAGGCAGAGCACAAAACGGCCCACAGCTACAATGTGCTACGGGCCGCACAAGCGGCATCACCACCACTTGCCCTAGCCAGGTCCAGAGCTGGTTTCCTCCTCCGCCTCACCCTGCACGGGCCGGAGGTCCTACGTACCTTCCTCTTTGACCACTGGACGGTACATCCGGCCGGGTCCTGGTTACGACAGCTGGAGGATGATGTTCGGATCGTTGTGATGCACCTTCCCGAGGTGGGCCAGCTTTTGGACCTGTCGTCGCCTGTTCTGTCACTGCTAGAAGCTTACCAGACTACACCTCGATGGTGGCCAAATCAGGTCAAACGGGCAGAGCGTGCCTTTTTACGGGACTTGGATAAGTGGGCGGCCCGCCCCGCTGCTGTTTCCCATGCCGACACTGCTGCGGCTGCAGGGCCAGCTGAGCCGGCAACTACCGCAGCGATAGAGGCCCCGTTCAAGTGCCCTGTTTGCCCCTCAGCGTTCAAGCTTCGCAAACACCTTGGCGTCCACTTAGCCCGCTCGCATGCCATCCTCTCACCCTCCAGGCACTTCGCGTATGATGTGTACTGCATATCCTGCCACCGATGGTATGGCACCGTCAGGCAGGTACAACAACACCTCTAGCACAGCGATGCATGCCTCACTAGGGCTTCCGAGCTCCTGCCGCCCATGAGCATCACTGACATCCGGCAAGTCGAAGGGCCGGAGGTTCGCAGGGCTAGTCAGCTCCGCAAGGGGGATTGGAAGGCTTACCAGGGGGTTTCACAACATACTATGATGTTTGGACCGCGCCTACCCACGGCAGACGAGCGGTTCCAGGGGCTAGATTTCTTTGAAGAGGAAGTCCGAATCTCTGACCTTGGGCGGTACAGGCCCACGGCCGAGACTCAGGACTGGATAGCTGCACATGTCAGCGGAAGATCCAGGGAAGGACCCCGAGTCACTTCGAAGAAGTTTTGGCACCAAAGGCCAGTTGTTTCACCTTGAATTCACCAATTTTGGGACGCGCAGCGCCATGCTGCACGACTGTCCGCTATCCATCCATCCATCCAATCCTATTTTGGTGGCTTCCTTATATTATAAGCATAGTATAATACACCCCACAACCCTATTCTATCGATTAAGGCCACTACATTAAGTCTCAAGAAGCTTGAGCCCGAGTTCAACCGAGGGTGCTGCCACATGGTCTGAAAAGTAGCCGGCTGACCTGTGCCGGCGAGCAACTGCCAGGCCAGAACCCCAAACCCGAAACCTGAATTGAGGCCTAGGTGTTTAGGGTTTCGGTTTCAAGCTTTAGGGCTTATAGGGTTTGGGGCTCAGGGTCTAGTCTAGGCTTTAGGGCTTAAGATTTCACTTGGTGCGCCTTATTGCTGTTCAATAGGAGTAGTTTCTAGGCTAGTTGATGGCTTGTGTTGTTTCGCGTTTGAGGCTTGAAAGCCCCAAGGTTTACGGTGTAGGAGTTTCAGGGTTTCACTGTTCCTCTCTTTGTTTAACCGTTTCTATGTTTAAGATCCTATAGAAGGTAAGCCAAAAACGAACTACAATGGAGATTGTAGGTCACTTTAGGTAAACTCCAACCCCCAAACTAGCCAAAACCTACAAACTCACCGTAAATTGCAGGTACCACATGCGGGGCTGCCAATTGACGGTTAGGTGGTTTTGTGGGTTTAGGGTTTAGGGGTTCAGGGGTTTAGGGTTTAGGGATTAGGGATTTAGGGTGTAGGGAAACGTACCAGCGACGACAAGGAAGGCACCTTAGGAAGAGTTGTTTGGACAGGTGTCGGGCTATGCGGTCCCGTCTCACCGGGCAAGAGATGCGCCCCAAAAAATCCAAAATGCAAGAACCACCAAAACCCTAAACTCTAAACCC